TGGCTAACACTGGAATCTTATTCGAGATTCATCAGCTCGATTTGCCAGCATCTCAGAGTTGATGTTTACACTGGGACTCGAACCTTACGCCTCAAACGCCGTCACGTTATCTACTGAGTTCACATAACCACTCGTTTATGCAATAATGTGAGGATTAATTCATCCTGTAACTAAGTGGATAAAGGTGATGATATTTGAAACGTAAATTACTGGGTTCGAGTCTCAGAGTAATCACTAACTCTAAGATGTAGGTACATCCAGTTGACGAGTCCCAAGTGGAAAGAAATGCACATCCTAGATTCCACTTCTATCCACTCTTCACATCTACTAATAATACTTGTAACTCAAAGGCAATAGGATTGCAATCTGCATAGGATACACATATATTTAACAGACTGATCCATTACAGTCCTAATAGGACGATTCAAATAACGAGTAGAAACAAATTCAACAAAATCTTATTCTGATAAAATTTACATTTTCATGATCGAAATCACAAACTAATCTTAGCTAGACCATCACTAGAAACTTAGACTAATTGGATGCTCGTTTCATCGTGATATGGGGCGCCTAAATAGTACGCATCCATGATTCTGCACTGCTGAAGAGTCCCTCACTTGAAAAAAACGACTGCACAGTGTTTGTAGGTTTTCAATGGTGGTCTTGAAGAGAATATTAATATATTCGAATTTTTAAAGAAGTTAACTATGCCAATTTAGTTAAGTAATTACTTATGAAATGAAAATACAACTCGTTGGGAAAAGATTACTAGGTAAGGATGGCAGATCAATAGATGAAGTGGTAAAACTTCATCAGTTGAGGTGGTTGGGACATGTGTTATGTTTGCCTAACCACCGACTGCCTCGTCGAGCTTTGTTTTGTGGTGTAGGAGTTAGTTGGAAGAAAGTTAGGGGCGGCCAAACCAAAACATGGCACAAATCCATGAAGTCACTGACAAGTGGACTGAGTCATGTTGGTAGATGTGGGCTACCTGGTTGTGGTCCGCGAGACGAAAGTCACCAATGGTTAGAGACCTTGAACAACGACATGGCTCAAAATCGTTTGCAATGGCACAAGTGCATCCATTCATTGAGCTCTCTGGATTCGTCAGCACATCTACCTTTGTCATTGCAACCTTATCTCACCGAATTATACTTCTTGAATAATATCTTCAAACCCTAGTCTTCTTCATTACCATTAATACCTCTACTATCTTTATCACTATGGGATTTGATTTGACATTTGTGCCTCTGTGCTAATGTGGTATGGCAACGTGAACCTATGTACATACGTACGAAGTTCTACGTGGCAATTGACTGACTTTCCTATTGAATAGTTAAACAGAAGTTTAATTATACTACTTAATTACGCCTCTTACCCTTAGTAGAGCATCGGCCACCGAACAGCATTCTCCAACCTACTCTGTCATGGGACTTTCTTTCTAGTTCTGTTCAACTGTTGTTCATTCTTCTCTCATGTCTGTCTCCATTTCTCAGAGTAATAAGTTCTTTGGTTTGCCTCTGCTCCTTTGGCCTTGGGGATTCCCAGTTAGGGCTTGTCTTGTGACGCAGTTGGGTACTTTCCTCAATGTGTGTCTAATACACCTCCAGGACTCCTTTCTAATTTCTTCCTCTGCTGGAATCTGGTTCGTTCTCTCCCTCAGTATGTTGTTGCAGATAGTGACTGGCCAATGAGTTTCATAACATAGCCATTCAATTTCTCATACATTGTCAGGTTCCAAGTCATGATTCTAGTTCACTAATTAAAATTATTTTTAACTAGGGTAGTATCATCAGCAGCAGTCTAATTAATGTTAATAGGAGTTGATTCTGTCTATTTCAAAATTATAATGTTGAGGTATAATTCAATTTGAAATGGTTTAGATTACTACGTTGTCGATATTTTGACTGAAGTTCGATCATGATTGGTTGGCATATAGGCATCCTATGCTTCAATGTAACCATTATGGCACCAGTCTAAATAGAACAGTTAGGATGTGGCTGGGGGCGTTTCGTCCTATTTGGGACTTATCTGACTTCTAGTTTTAAATTACACTGAAGAATGAATAAGAAAATATTACAATCTCAAAGGGTTAAAAAATATACTTTCGAATTCCGATTCGATAGTTTAAGTGTCAAGAGCTTCAGTGTCAGTCAGTCAGTCAGTCAGATGCAACGTAGAACTTCGTACGTAAGTGCATCAGTTTATTTCGCCATACCACATCAGAATAGAGTCACAATTGTCGATTCAAATCCAATAGTAGTAGAGGTAGTAAAGGTATAAGAAGTAATCAGAGAGGTTAGGATTAGAAGATATTATTCAAGAAGTATGATTCAGTGAGAAAAGTTTAGAAAGTCAAAACTGGAGGTGTTGAAGAATCCAGAAGATTAAGATTTGAGAGAACACAAAGAATAGATGCACCGGCGCCATTGCGAACGATTTTGGGCCATGTCATTCAAGGTCTCTAACCATCGATCATTATCATCTCGCGGACCCCAACCAAGGTAGTCGACCATTACCGACATGGCTAAGTTCACTCGTCCACTCTTCCTTTTCAGGTCCCTCAAGAGCTTCAGTGTCCTGGATTCAAACCCTCATCGGGAGCTCAGTACTAGAATTAGGCAACTGTTTAGTGCTTCTTAGTGGTCAATGGATGTTTAGTTACAAGTGGTTAGTTATGTAAGCCGAAAAAAAATTCCCCAGTCTCCATAAAATCTTCAAACCTGAAGAAAATGAAAGTTCCCTTTTACTTGTTATCATATTTTTGGATACGCTGTTTCCTCTACGATGGATGATTTATAGTTATGAAACTTTCATAATTGTTGTTATCAACACTAGTAACATCTACTCTGAAATAGAAGTGAATTTTTTTTCCACTAAAAATGATTCTACAATAGTCAACTAAATTCATTTTGATAACTTTGTTTGTAACTAGTTGCGTCTAGATATTTTATATTCTTGTTCAAGCAACTTTAAATGATATTTTGGCAAAAATAATCGATCAAAAATGCCACAACTTGGAAAGTATAACATTATGGAAAGTATTCACATGAGTTGTAAATCTTATACAGTGACTTACTTATTTGGTCAAGTATATACATAAATAAACCTTGGTAAAAGGGGCACATCAATATATATATATATGAGCTACACAGTGAAAAGGAAGTTGTGAAAAGTTAGATAAAGGATGGTGCGGCATATTTGATAACAACTGAAGCCACTGATTTGTACCATTCTTCGAAACTGAACCACGGAGTCGTGAAGGAACGATAGACGTCAGTCCTGTACAGCTTTGCTTCATACCTTGACTCTGATAATCGTTCCTCTTTGTTCGATCAGTCTCAACTTTGGCAAGTAATATGTGATATAGAGTTCACTGGACAATATTAGTAGTATATTTGTATGTCATCAAAGCTTGTACTGTAAGATGATGACACTCATTGAATTATCGTCGGTGTGCCCGAACACATATTGAAAAGCCTCTAGATTACTAATATGATGTTGCCACTGAATGTCAGCAATCCTACGGGAGTTAAATGATCAAAACCAGAGAGTCACCCAACGTTCTCAACTCAAAACTGCCCTCCTCCAGGAAATGCTCTCATATGACAACGGTATATAGCTAACGTCAGGGAAGTCCTACTCACTGCATTCTCATAGAGAGGGTGTTGTTTATCAAACTGAGAGGACGAAAAACAAATGTCCAATGGAGCTTAAATCGAGCTTGTGGGTTTGGAGAATCCACCTTGTAGGGGAGTCGGGAAACCGTGCACCTGCGCTATTGCAAACGATTTTGAGCCATGTCATTCAGAGTCACTAATCATCGATTACTAACATCTCGCGGACCTCAACCAGGTAGCCTACATCTACCAACACGACTCAGTACACTTGTCAGTGACTTCATGGATTTCTGCCGCCATGTTTTGGTCCGGCCGCCCCTAACTTTCTTCCAACCTACTACCCCTTCACCACAAAACAAAGCTCGTCGAGGCAGTCGGTGGTTAGGCATACACGCAACACATGTCCCAATCACCTCAACTGATGAAGTTTCATTACTTCATCTATTGATCTGCCATTCTTACCTAGCACTCGTTTCCTAATAACAGCGTTGCTCACTTGGGTGTACCAGGATATACGAGCAATGCTTCGGAGTCATCTATGATCATAAACCAGTAACCTACGAATATCTTCTACTCTAACTGGCCATGTTTCACAGCCATAAAGTAAGACGGAGCGAATTACCGCGCAGTTCACTCGTCCTTGAGTCAGTAGACTGATATCTCGCCTGTTCCATAAGTGACGCAGGTTGGCAAAAGTCAATCGAACCTTCTGTATCCGTGCCGAGATTTCATCAGTCACCAGGCTATCAGCACTGATGAGACTCTCCAGGTAAGTGAAGCGATCTACACGCTCGACTACCTCACTCCCTATCACTACTTCAGGTGCCGATGAAACCCAATCTTGAAGCAACATTTTGGATTTCGAGGGTGAGAGCCGCATCCTGAACATGCTTGCATTGTTGCTTAGGGTGGTCAGAAGACTCTACATTGTGTCAGCGTCTTCACCGAATAGAACTATGTCATCGGCATATTCTAAGTCAACAAGCGATTTTCCTGGTAGAAGGTCCACTCCTGAAAATTCCCACGAGGATTAGGTTATTTCTAAGAGCATGTCTATGATAAAATTAAACAAGAATGAAGAGAGTGGACATCCCTGACGGACACCACTTGAAGTAGAGAATTTCGACAACAGTTCGCTCTCACTCGACCAGTGGTGTTCGAGTAGAGAGCTTGTATAAGGTTATCATTGTAAGATTTTGTGAAGCAAGCTCTAACTTGATACCCTCAAGGTCAAAGGAACAGAAGTCAGACCAAACAACACATTGTGCCGAGAATCAGTGGCAGACTGCAAAAGAATGACTAGTCCTTGATTACAACTGAAGAGTGGAGTTTAAGATCGAGTATTTACAAAAGTCGTTTTGTTTTCTCCAATTTTTTCAGCTAATAACACTGAAGATGTGAAAGAAAATCTTTTGAAAAATGTCAAAATACAAGTATGTGTTTTCTTTGTTTTACTTGATACAACAATTTCATTATTCAATTTGTATGATATTTTGTTCATTGAATGGTTTGTTTAAATTAATGTATGCATTTCATTTATATTTTGACTGATTAATTAATGAAGTGACTAAAATTGATACTGTTAGTATTGAAATAATTTCAAGTCACCTATTAATTTTAATGATCTCAAGCATATAGGAGGTTAGATCAGGCCCAAATATTTACTTACTTACTTAATTACACCTTCTATCTTTCATGGAGCATAGGTCACTGACCAGCATTCTTCAACCTACTCTGTCTTGGGCTTTCATTTTTAGTTTTGTTCAGTTGCTGATCATTCTTCTCATATCTGCTTCCAATATGTTCTTTGGCCTTTCTCTTTTCCTTTGTCCCGAGTAGCTTGATAGTATAGTTTTTGATTGTGAAGCTATTTGAAATGGGATCGAACCCATTGGGGAGCTATTGCAGGTAAATCTTGCCGATGTGTGCTGATTAAGACGAAAGGTAAATACAGGATTTCTCGTTAAATACCTTCAACCACCAACTTACGTATCAGCTTAACTCAAATGACATCAAGTCATCTTGATCCAAAGAAGAGATCGTTTTTATTTAAAAGAGGGAAGGTGTTGATGGGATTTGCAATCTCCCTTAGCAAAGTTTAGAGACACCCAGAAAAGTCAGAAAACTTTTTATCCAATCGGTAGTGAATAGAATCTTCTCAGAAACATATGAAAAATGAAAAATCAAGTGTCATGATTTTGATTGGATATTCATCTCAACTACTACCACCACTATATTTTGCGTGACCCCGGGAACTGCTAGACACTAAGGAGGTTACCTACCGAAAACAATGGATGAAGTTGCTCACCATCGTAGGCTGACTGAAGTTAGATACTAACACCATCGGATGCCGACTCAGTAGTCTGAAGTTCGAGCGTAAGACCTAAGGTCCTATTCCTGAGTCTCATATTCGCACGAAACGGCGATCCAGTAACCCTTGCTTTCAGTCAGTCAGATGCAACGTAGAACTTTGTACGTAAGTACATCAGTTCATGTTGCCATACCACTACAGTAGCACACAGATGTAATTGTCAATTCAAATCCCATAGTAGTAGAGGTAGTAAAGGTATTACAAGTAATCGGAGAGGTTAGGATTAGAAGATATTATTCAAGAAGTATGATTCAATGAGATAGGTTTAGAAAGTCAAAACTGGAGGTATTGAAGAATCCAGAAGATTAGGATTTGGGAGAACACAAAGAATAAATGCACCGGCGCCATTGCAAACGGTTTTGAGCCATGTTGCTTTCAATGGTGATCGAACATTGATCAGTTCATGATCTGAATGAAAATCTACAACGTACACTACTGTTTAGTGAGAAATTTCATTCTTTAGTATTTTAAACATTTTCTACACTATCTCTATACATATCATTTGAACTAATGATAACCCCTTAATAGATATGATTTCTGACTAATCCTATGATAATGATTATCAACATCTATCAGCCATTAGAATTCGCTCTTTTTGACCACTTTTTCCCTCCATTGACAATCATCATTATACCTGTTTATCCATCCGCTAACCGAAGGACAAGTCAACTGCCCAGTAGTCCGCCCGGTTCTACTATATGGGTGTGAAGCATGGCTAACAAGAAGGGAGTATATTCGTAGGTCACTAGTATTCGATCATCGGTATCTTTGAAGCATTGCTTATCTATTCAGGAACCGCCGAATAAGCGATGCTGTTGTTAGGAAAAGGGTACTAGGTAAGGATGAAAAATGGACTGATGGATTAGTGAATGAATGTTCATCAGTTGAGGTGGTTAGGACATGTGTTACGTATTCCAAACCAACTGACTTCTTCGACAAGTGATGTTTTGTAATCTAAGGCCAGATTGTAAGAAAGCTAAGGGGGGGGGGCAGCCAAACTGAAACATGACACAAATTCATGAAGTCACTGACAACTAGGTTGAACCATGTAAGTAGGTTCAGACTACCTAGTTTGGAGCCTGCGAGATAATCTCAAACTGTAGTTAGAGACTTAAAAAGAAAATGATATGGTTCAAAATCATTCGCAACAGCGCAGATGCATCCATTCTTTATATTCTTTCTAATCTGATTCTTCGGAATTCCTCCTCACTATCTTTAGTGTTCTCGTTATATTTCTTGAATAATTTCTTCAAACCTTGATCTTTTCGATTACTGTCCATACTGTTACTACATGTTCGTACGTACGAAGTTCTATGTTTTTTTTGTTAACTGACTGACTCCATGTGAACACATTGATTAAGACTTTGCTTCTTCAAGAAGTAGTTCGAAATTTTTCTCCACCCTCAATCGTGCCGTGAGATTTAAGGGAAACGCTACTTTCAAGCATCATCGTTGTTGAATTCTTCATCGTATATTTGATTGCAATTAAGTTTGATTATTTCGTAATTATCTTTGAAAGGAAAACATTACCAACTGAGTTGTGTATGAATATAATTAGATTATGAAACAGTTGTATCATCATTTCAGTGGAGTGGTAGCTTGGTAATTAAAGGGTCTAATTCTAATCTACTAAGTCCCAAAACATGGCAAAAATCCATGAAGTTTTTGAGAAGTGGACTGAGTCATGTTGGTAGATGTAGGCTACGTGGTTGGGGTCAGCGAGACGAAAGCCATCGACGGTTAGAGACCTTGCATGACATAGCTCAGAATCTTTTGCGATAGCGCAGGTGTATCCACTCTTTGTGTTCTCTCGAATTCTAACCTTCTGAATTCCTCATCATCTCTATTTTTCTCTTCCTAAAGTTATCTCATTGAATCATACTTCTCGAATAATATCTTTGTTACGCCTGCACGTAAACACGTCAACTTGATATACTTGAACTATTACGAGTTTATGTTAGTAGGAAAACGAGAGCGAGGATCGAGGATCCGGCGACACTACATGCTACTCAAATCCGATTATCCCGACCCCCATATTTAGTAAAAATAAGAAGATGTGATATGAAGTAGAACATGTATTCTACAAGCATCCAGAAAGAATGAGGTCCGAATCCAGAACAGAATCAGGATCCCGGACTAGGGATCCGGGGACAGGTCATTGTCCTAGTCATAAAACGTTACAGATAATGCGTATTTATTCAGTTAGGTCGAATAGGGAACATCATCGAAGTCTGTTACATTGACAGTTAAGACGGCCAATAGGAAGCAACATTTGAAGTGACACTGATAGTCATTACAACCAATAAGAAACATCATTGGAGCACGTGACAATGATATCTAGAACGACCATAAAATTGACCAACAATTCTCTTACGATATTGGATGAATATCCTAACAATCTTCGAACCCTAATCTTCTCTATAACCTCTAGTACTTCTACAATGTCTACCACAATAGGATTTGAACTGACAGTTACGTCTCTGTGCTAATGCTGTATGGCAGCTTGAACTAATGTACGAAGATCTACATTGTAACTGACTGACTGACTGACGGCTACTACTTCTACTACTATGGGATTTGTATTGACCATTCTCTCTCTCTCTGTGTACTAATGTGGTATGTCAACTTGAATTGCGATTACTGTACGTATGTACGTACGTACATATCAAATTCGACGTTGTCGTTGTAGCTGACTGACTGACTGACTGACTGATTTCAGTAAATAATGCCAAAAAATAACAATGAATCATGATTTCGTATTGCATTCTTTCATTTTTGTTTAATTCCTGCTGGCAATCAACAGATTTTTTTTTAAACAGTTAAATCAGCAAACGATTTCACATCACAATGAAACGTGTTTGTTCACTTACTATTGTCACATTAGACATATGATGGTGTGTTTTTCGCTTCATATCGATTAGTGTGTATCATTATTGTTAACAGACGCAATAAATGTGATCATATTTAATTTATTATCAAGTATGTTGACATTTACTTCAATTAAATAAAATCAACTGTTTTGAGAACTGTGTTGTTCTAGTGCCTCCACATATATTCGGGTTCGTTTACATTTAATTTGGTTAAGGCCGTTTCGATTAATTTATTTAACCAAACCAATTTGTATTGCGAGCAACAATTTATATGTACCATTCGTTCTTATTATGGAGGCGTCTTTGACATTACGGTGTGTTTGGGAAGATAGTCAACATTATATGGAATTCTTAGGATGGATTAAACTGCAAAATCGTTCACGGAGGTCAGCTGACATACTCGTTTGAGGTGAAGACCGGTGTCGGGCAAGGTTGCTTACTCTCACTCTTTCTATTTCTCCTAATCATCGACTGGATTATGAAAACGTCGACATTTGAAGGGAAGCACGATATACAGTGGACAGCTAGGACGCAGCTGGACGATCTGGACTTCGCAGATGACCTGGCTCTCCTATCGCACACGCAACAACAAATGCAAGAGAAGACAACCAGTGTAGCAGCAGCCTCTGCAGTAGTAGGTCTGAACATGCATCATGGGAGAAGTAAGATTCTACGATACAACACAACATGCGTCAACCAAATCACTCTTGATGGAGATGCCTTGGAGGACGTTAACACCTTTACATATCTCGGCAGTATCATCGACGAGAAAGGTGGATCGGACGCAGATGTGAGGTCGCGGATTGGCAAAGAAAGGGCTACATTTCTACAATTGAAAAATATCTGGAACTCCAAACAAATATCAATCAACACCAGAATCAGGATTTCCAATACAAATGACAAGACAGTTCTACTGTGTGGAGCGGAAACTTGGAGAACTCCGAAAGCCATCATCCGAAAGATACAAGTATTTATTAACAATTGTCTACGCAAAATACTTCGTATTCGTTGGCCAGACACTATCAACGACAACTTACTGTGGGAGAGAACAAACCAGATTCCAGTGGAGGAGGAAATCAGGAAGAAGCGGTGGAAGTGGATAGGACACACACTACGAAAAGCACCAAACTGCGTCACGAGACAAGCCCTCACATGGAACCCTCAAGGTGAAAGGAACATAGGAATGCCAAAGAACACATTACGCCGAGAAATAGAGAAAGATATGAGAAGAATGAACAAAAATTGGACATAACTGGAAAGGGAATCCCAGGACAGAGTTGGTTGGAGAAAACTGGTGGGGGGCCTTTGCTCCATTGGGGGCTAACAGGCGTAGATAAGAAAGTAAGTAATTCGTTCTTATTATTGTCTGGTTTGTGTGAGCTCACGTGACTTGTCCCACTTGTCTTTTGACCTTGTCAACCATTCGTCGCTTTTATTCATGTGTGTGCCTGCCTATCTCACTTTTTTACATGTCTGTCTTATTTTTGTCTGACTATAAATTCTTAGTCATGCTTTATCTCTCGAAGTTGGCTCACTAGCCTTCGCCACATCAATTCATCCGTTCATTCGACTATTCACTCGCTTGCTTACTTTCCGTCTCTCGCATGACGATTTTATCTTTTAGCTCTTGTAGTCCGCTGTTCTATTTGTGGTGTGTCGCAAAAATAAACGTATTCAACACTTTGTGTTCACCTTCTGATTTATAAACCATCAGACGCCATTTAGTACCGATTGTCTAGACGAGCTAATCATGAAGCTTAAGAACACGTCGAATTCGGCCACCATATTGTGAGAAGTGATTGATTTTATTTGGTAAATAACATGTGAAAGTCAATCTGTTCACAAGCAAAATGATTGTAATCTTTACATGAAAGCTAGCGGCGGCCAAACCAAAACATGGCACAAATCCATGAAGTCACTGACTAGTGAACTGAGTCATGTTGGTAGATGTAGACTACCTGGTTGGGATCCGCGAGACGATAGTCACCGATGGTTAGAAACCTTGAACGATATGGCTCAGAATCGTTTCCAATGGCGCAAGTGCATCCACTCTTTGGGTTACCTCAAACTCTAACCTTCTGAATTCCTCATAATCTCTACCTTTCTCCTTCTAAATTTATCTTACTGACATATACTTTTCGAATCATATCTTCGCTCCCTAATCTTCTCCATTACCAGTGATACTTCTACTATCACTACCACTCTTGGATTTCGAACTGACAGTTACGTCTCTGTGCTGATGAAGCATATCAACCTGAACTGATGTACTTACGTACGAAGTTCTGTGTTGTATCTGTCTGTCTCTTACATGAAACAAGTGTACTTCAGTTTGATTTTGACGTTTTTTTTCCTTAGGTAAAGAAACTCATGGAAGAAGCTGTTATACGTGGTTATGTTCATGAGGATAGTGAAACGATTGGTAAACTTTGTTGTAAGTTTAACAGAGTTTTACTTCTCTTTTTCACTATGTGATTAATTCATTATTTACTTACTTACTTACTTACGCACTTATACCTGTTACTCACAATGGAGCGTAGACCGGCGACCAGTGTTCTTCAACCTCCTACTATGTCCTGTTGGGATTCCCTTTCCAGTTCTGTCCAATTGTTGTGCATTCTTCTCATGTCTTTCTCTATTTCACGGCGGAATGTGTTCTTTGGCATTCCTCTTTTCCTTTTAGCTTGAGGGCTCTAAGTGACAGCTTGTCTTGTGACGCAGTTGGATGCTTTCCTCAATGTGTGCTCTATGCACTTCCAGTGCTTTTTCCTGATTTCTTCCTTTACGAGAACCTAGTTTGTTCTCTCCCACAGTAGGTTGTTGCTGATGATGTATGGTCAACGAGTCCTCAGTATTTTGCGTAGACAACTGTTCACGAATACTTGTATCTTTTGGATGATGGCTTTGGTAGTTCTCAAGGTTTCCTCTCCATTTAGTAGAATTGTCTTGACATTTGTAGCTCAGGTGGTGTGGTGGCGGTGTTTTGTTCTCTGAGCTGGATATTTCGGTTGAGTGGAGCTTTCATTGTACTTCTGAATAACATCGTCATCACCACAAATTTCAGATAGAAGAAGTGAAATATTCTAATTTCTCCACGTTTGACCTGTAGCTTGTTCAGTTAACCTCGATCGTGATTGGTTGCTGTTGACTTTAAGCCTGTCGTTGTTTGCACCTTTGTTTTGATTGTATCCCCTCCTTTTGATCTGTTTTTTGATCCTATGTCGCCTATGATTTTTGTGATTGGTTGACATTTGTACTGAAAATCCTGATTTTGGTGTTGGTTGATAGTTGTTTTGAGTTGTAGACGTTGTTCACTTGTAGGAATGCAGCCTTTGCTTTGCCGATTCGCGCCTTTACATCTGTATCGGACCCACCTTGTTAGACAAGGATGCTGCCCAGATATGTAAAGGTCTTAATGTCCTCCGAGGCATCTCCATCAAGAGTGATTTGGTTGGTGCATGTTGTGTTGCATCGGAGAATTTCGCTTTTTCATTTTTGTATGTTGAGACCTACTGCTACTGAGGGTGCTGATACACTGATCGTCTTCTCTTGCATTTGTTTTTGTGTGTGCGATCGAAGAGCCAGATCATCTGTGAAGTCCAGATTGTCCGGCTGCGTCCTAGCTGTCCACTGAATACCATGCTTACCTCCAGATGCTGACGTCTTCATAATCCAATCGATAACGCTAACAAGAAAACATAATTCACTACTCAGAGAAGTATTTTTGTATGGTTGTTGTAGTAGATTTTTACTGAGAAGATTAACTCTTACTGACATACAATAAGATTTACGTGATCAGTATTCACGTGAATGTTTCGTGAAAGTTGGTAAGGTAGATTTTTTGAGTTCTAATGAGAAGCCATAACTATGTGAGGTAGTTACCTATAAATGACATTGAGAAGCCGATTAACCAATATTGCGAATCGATTGTATGAGGAATGTAAGCTCTTGTTTCTCAACTCATTGATCTTCAGTTTAAGAAGTCATTTTGAAACATAAAAGTTTGGTGTTCGATTTCTATGCGGGGTTTTGTATGCTTACTGATGAGAAACTTATGTATTAAAATGAAACGATTATCTAATCCAACCTGATTCTCTAGCCAACGTCACTTCGTAATATAAACTATGAAACATGTAAATATAGATGATGTCATATTGTTCTTTGTGGTAATCGTTTCTGTTATATAAAATTACAATGCACATCCAAGACCCCTTCTAGTGGGAATCGAATTCAGGACATGCAGTCTCGCGCGCAAATGTTCAACATCCGGACCACTGCTGACGAGTACCAGTCTAGGACAAAATAGCCGTCTAGTGCTTCCAGATTTCTAATAGTAGCCTAACAATGATCGATTCCTGACTTGAATAAACATCACTTTTGTTACGCCTGCATATAAACACGTCATTTTGATATGCTTGAACTATTATGAGTGTACATTAGTCGCAATATGAGAGCGAGGATCAAGGATCCGGTGACACGACATGCTACTCAAATCCGATTATCCCAACTCCCATATTGAGTAAAAATAAGAAGACTTGATATGAATTAGAACCTGTATTCTGCAAGCATTCAGGAAGTATCAGATCCGAGTCCAGAAGAGAATCAGGATCCCAGACTAGGGATCCGGGACCGGAACCGGGTCCTGGTAATAAAACGTTACAGATAATGCGTATATATACATTTTGGTCGAATAGGAAACAGCATCGAAGTCTGTGACATTGACAGTAAAGACAACCAATAAGAAGCAACATTTGAAGTGACATTGATAGTCATTACAACCAATAAGAAACAACATTGGAGCAAGTGACATTGATATCTAGGATGAGCATAAAATTGACCAGTAGGAATGAACCAATAGGAATTGACCAATAAATTCTCTTAGGATATTGGATGAATATCCCAAGAACTTTGTAATGTGAACTATGAAACGCGTGATTGTAACTGATTTCATATTGTTTTTAATTTCTAGTGATGATAATCGTTTCTGTTAGTCAAATTTATAATCTTAGTCGACAATGTAGCAACACTTATTTAGAAGCTAATTTGAAGAGTTCCATACTCTTCAAGAGCTTGGAATTGGCATACTACACAGTGTTATTCGTCGAAGACAATAATTACCGGATCCTATCAAAACACATCATTCATTTTAATGTATATCAAATCACAAGAGAAATAATTTGAATCTTTAACGAAAAAAAATATCAGACATTAGCAAATTAAAACAATTGTCAAACGAAAAGAATTGTTTTAAATTAAGGGGTGTCAGCAATGACCTTGAAAAATGTACAATTTTCAAATGTCTCAGCTTTCAATTATGAACTTTTTTCTCCGTCTATGAATCGTTCTGAACAACGAAATAATCAAATAGGTTTATATATACTTAAAACTGAATATTTTTAAGGTTATACTCTCACCAGAGCCATTTACATGTTCCGCGTGTGTGGACCTGCAGTCGGTGTGTGAAACTCAAGTGTTTAGATGATATTGATTGATGAACGACCCTGAATACGCCCGGTACAGTCAAGAGTGAGGAAAGTTCATTCTCCACTTCGGGAAGCTGGAAAACTGAGATTCCTAACCAATGGTGGTAAATGGGCTCCGAGATCCTGATGGAACGAATAGCATATAGACTTCTTACTGTCGATCACCGACTACCGTGAGACTCAAACTCCTGATATCGCTGCAATGGCTTATGTATTGTAACCCCTGGTCAAAGGCTCCGGTGTGGATCCTTAAAAAAACTACCTATTTCGGTTTGGACACTTTGACAAATGTTATGCCATCATCTTCCGTTGGTTGTAGGGAAGAACTGTTTCACCCCAGAAATGATCGAACTCTTCTGGTCATAACTTCGTATTAGTCACTCAAGAACTGTATGTTAAAGCTAGTCGCTAGTGAATACAGGATTATCACTAGCATAAAACTTTGTGAAGATCATAGAATTTTCATGGATGTTCGTTCATTGTTGAAGAAATCTATATCCCAGAATGAAAGAACTGTCTAGTGGTTTTCGTTTCTGATCGATGTATATATATTTCATCGTATGATGGGACTCATCAGCAGTGCTCATTCATGACCCATCTTCCCAGGAATCAAAGCCAGGACCTTCAGATTTGTGCGTCAACGCTCACCACTGCTGATTAGTTCCATTCTAGGACAAAACACTGCTTCCAAGTTTCCTGATGATGGTCGTCGATTGATAACCAGGAATGAAACTCACTAATCTTCTTACCTCTGATGAATATTCTCACCATATTACTGTTTTTTCTCTCTCTCTTTTGACAGCATCTGTTGAAGCTGTACTACTTTATAAAGTACGTCGTAGTATATTCACATGGATGGAAGAAGAGTCAACTTATGTATTATGTCAAAAAATTGCCAAATTATGTCCAGAAGCACAACAAACATTAGATCGGCTAAATTATTATAAAGATGCAGTTTTAAGAAAACGTAATGATTATGATGTGAACCGGCCAGTCTCCTCTTTGACTGGTTTACGTCATAAAACTAGCCGACTGCATCAAAACTCCATTATATCAACTGATAAATCATTGAATTTTTCATTTCGTTTAAATGATAAACGTAACAGTTTTCAGAATATTCTTCTGCCAGATGGGTAAGTGAAACAACATGATTGCTATTGAATGTTCAATATTCTATTTGTGTCAATGTTTCATTTGTTTATATGGATAAAGTTGAAAAGTTCAAATGTGTGGCATACAGACGGAAAATTTAAAGTTTAGCAATAGAAAACTGATATTCTGTTCTGAATAAAGTAAAGAAAATTGTCAATAGAAACTTATTATTTTGAAATTGAGCCTGGCTCTCATTGCGATGAGGGGCGGAGTCAGCTTAGACTTAGGCTGATTAGAAGCCTACGCAATGATCGAGAACAGTGATGGGTGGCGAAAGCGAGAGATATGGAAAAATTAGCAGCAGCGATAGGCAACATTAGACAGTTGTACCGACTTATCAAGGAAACCGGTATTAGGAACCCAAATGTGAGTGAAACTATTTCGGAAAAGGATGGTCTTATTATCCATTCTCACAATCCAGGAGACTGGACCGATGGGCAGAACACTTTAGGGATCAGTTCAACTGGCCTCGACGTAATCCCATCCGAGTGGTCTCAATCACTGATTGTACCAATTTATAAGAAAGGACACAAGTCTTCTTGTGACAATCACAACGGGAATAGGTATAACTAATATAGTATCTAAAATATTGGCCTCAGTAATACTTCGACGCTTAACGAAGGCTCGGGAAGAGCAAACTCGAGAAAACTAGGCTGCTTTTTGACCTGGACGTGGTTGTCTAGACCAGATTTTTACACTACGACAGGTCCTGGAATAGGTTAGAAGAAAGTTAGGCGTGGCCAAACCAAAACATGGCAGCAATCCATGAAGTCATTGACGAGTGGACTTAGCCATGTCGGTAATTGTCGACTACTTGGTTGGGGTCCGCGAGATGATAATAATCGATGGATAGAGACCGCAAATGACATGGCTCAAAATCGTTCGCAATGACGCCGGTGTATTTATTCTTTGTGTTCTCTCAAATCCAAATCTTCTGGATTCTTCAACCCCCCCTAGTTTTGACTTTCTAAACTTTTTTCACTGAATCATACTTCTTGAATAATATCTTCTAATCCTAACCTCTCTGATTACTTCTAATACCTTTACTACCTCTACTACTATTGGATTTGAATTGACAATTATATCTCTGTGCTACTGTAGTGGTTTGGCGACATGAACTGATGAACTTACGTACGAAGTTCTACGTTGCATCTGACTGACTGATTTTAAATTTGAAATGTGAATTTATGATGTCAACTAAGCGGAATTGCCGAAAATGTAACTGCTGTCAAAGGCTACCAAGGTCTTTAAAATACTTTATGTGAATAAATAAGTTGTCCAAAGTGTTTAGTATCCTCCCTTTCCAATTCTTACTTTAAATCTCAACTATAAGTAAGTAGCTTAAGTTTCTAAACAGTAGAATGACAATACATTGTGCATCATAGTTGATGTCAGACTGTGATGAAAACTCGTAGCCGAATTTGAAAAACGAAACTCAGAACTGCAGCTTAAGTTTTACTACTAAATCGTAGCCTCTTTTGTATCATTGCTGGTCTCAGTTGAGGACGAAATCTCTGTGGGTTGATAAACCATAACTCATAATACGAACCCAACATTTAAGAGATGAAATTAATCTTCCCTTTTCACCACAAGAAGTAATTTGATACGTGAAAACTGATTATTCATGTTGGGGATGTTAGATCCCCAAAACTCGCTTGATGAATGCCTTATTATGGATTTCAGGTTTGTGAGCATGGGTTGATCAGTTGACCTTGAGATCTCATTTCTCACCAGGAAAATTCATGGCTGTGATTGGCTGCTGTGTATTTTAGTGTGCTATTTTCGTAACTGTCCCAAGGACGTCGTTTCTGTGTTGTATAAATAAAAGAGAGTTGTGTGCTTGATTGTATTGTGTGATTGCTGGGTGTTTGTAGAATATACTTTCTACGCTTATAAAGCCTTCTATCTTCAGCTTGGGATGTAAGGTAGCCTACCTGGACGCTGGTAATTGTCTCGTTCGTGTTTATCGACTAAGGTGAACTCGTAATAGCTTCAAGCATACTACCTAGTGACGAACATATCAATTCATCAAATCGAAATTTTTATTATTCCACTGATGTTCTATGGCTTTTAAATGTTACCTGTTGTATAACTCAGAACCATTTCTTGATTGGCTGATAGGTTAATCACTCAACCTCCAGACCAGTGAGCTAGCATCAAACAGTGTTCAAGTCTAACCTCAAACAGTCCACATTATTGCTTGTTATGTAACTTGGCAGCGTTTCTTGATTGGCTGATAGGTTGATTTTTCAAAATCTAGACCGCTGAGCTGGCATTCAACGGTGTCAATGTTCAACTGTCATCGATCCACAGTATTGCTCAACCTCACTCACTGTCTTTGATAGATAACTGTCTGATACCCAACAGGGTTGAACTCCACTAGTTACGAATTCTTACTAGAATTCCGAGAAATTCCTCACAAAGCTAGTAAGCACACAACAATCTTCACAACTCTGAAATAAAAACCATAAAAATGTGCTGACTAGTGAATACTTTCGTTAGGGATTTTTTTCAGATTTTTAGTAAAAAGTCATGAACAATGGATTTCAACACTGTCGGTTATAAGGCAGGCAGTTAACTACCAAAGACAATGGATGAGATCACGTAGTACTGTTTGTTGTTTGAAGTTAGACAATAACACCGTTCGATGCCGGCTCACTAGTCTAGAGGTTAAACGATCATGCGTCAGTTCATGTGTACTTACTGCTGATCAGTTCCATATGACAACGAAACCGCCATCCAATGCTTCCACGTTTTTAATGGTAATCTGTGTACTGTGCAGCAGTTCGTTCCGTTCTCTTATATGGCTGTGAAACATGGCCGTTAAGAGTAGAAGATGTTCGTAGGTTGCTAGTATTCGATCATAGATGTTTAAGAAGCATTGCTCGTATATCGTGGGACAGCCGAGTAAGCAATGCTGTCGTTAGGAAACGAGTACTAGGTAATGATGGCAGATCAATAGATGAAGTAATGAAACTTGATCAGATAAAGTGGTTGGGACATATGCTGCGTATGGCTAACCACCGAATGCCTCGACGTGCTTTGTTTTGTGGTGTAGGAATAGGTTGAAAGAAATTTAGGGGCGGCCAAAGCAAAACATGGCAGAAATCCATGAAGTCATTGACGAGTGAACTTAGCCATGTCGGTAATTGTCGACTACCTGGTTGGGGTCCGCGAGATGATAATAATCGATGGTTAGAGACCTTGGATGACATGGCTCAAAATCGTTTGCAATGGCTCCGGTGCATTTATTCTCTGTGTTTTCTCAAATCCTAATCTTCTGTATTCTTCATTCCCTCTAGTTTTGACTTTCTAAACTTATCTCACTGAATCATACTTCTTGAATAATATCTTCTAATCCTCACCTGTCGGATTTCTTCTAATACCTTTACTACTTCTACTACTATTATGGGATTTGAATTGACAATTGAATCTCTGTGCTAATGTGGCATGGCAACATGAACTGATGTACTTACGTACGAAATTCTACGTTGCATCTGACTGAATGGTAATCTAAACTCAACAATATCCATAACTCGACAATGATTCTTATCATTATCTAAGTTGTTTTCAGGTTGTGTAATAATTTCTTAAATTATAAGGTAGGAAGTAAACACTTGTTTGCTCATAAGAATACCAGAGTTTCATACATCTTTCATCTTGAACAAAATCGATTGTTTGCGCGGGGAAAATAGCAGATATCATTTTAAACAAAAAAATTATACTCATTCCTCTTCATCATCAAAGTTTATATTTTATGTTTAAGTATCGAGTTGTAGTGAAGAACACAGGTGAGGGCAACCGAATTGTGTTTAAACGAAAATTACAGAGTTACTCAGTAAAATCGGAAAACCATATCGTAAACCGTTGTTAATTTGCAAATCTTCAATCCATCATCAATCCATTGTCTGACATTTCACTACTATTCGTGCGTTTCATACGAATTCCATTGTGTTCCCTGCCACTCTTCCTTTCTTGATCTTCCCCCCCATCTTCTGCTGCCAGGCATTACGTCTTCACTCGCGTTATATACTACTTATAAGTAGCTCGCACCACAGAGTTTGAAATGATCAATGGCCAAATTTTCAGAAACAACTCATTTGACTTATTTCACATTTTGAATGATGATACATTTTCTATTCAGCTACAAAAAAATATTAGTTTTTGATTTATTCTGATAATATATAATTATGAATTTCCGGTTGCAATATTATTTCTCCAAATCGATCAGATTAGATATGCGCTATTGGCACGTTTAAAATGTACAAACATGATTAAAAAATTAGGCAAAAAACGACACAGTGAATAGTGAAACAATTGAATATTGAACAGTGAATAATTATTCCCAGTCAATGAAGTAATAGTGATTGCAAATATTGATTTATTATTGTAAAAAAAATGTTGATTGATTAAAGTTAATTTACTTCCTATTTTTTTCTTCATAAATGTTTTATGAAATTTGTTTATATTGGTTGTTTAAACGCCGTCGCGTTATCTATTTAGTCAGTCAGTCAGTTGCAACGTAGAACATCGTACGTAAGTACATCAGTTCATGTCGCCAAACCACATCAGCACAGAGATATAATTGCCAATTCAAATCCAATAGTAGAAGAGGTAGTAAAGGTATTACAAGTTATCGGAGAGGTTAGGATTACAAGATATTATTCAAGAAGTATGATTCACTGAGATAAGTTTAGAAGGTAAAAACTAGAGATGTTGAAGAATCCAGAAGATTAGGATTTGAGAGAACACAAAGAATAAATGCACTGGCGTCATTCCGAACGATTTTGAACCATGTCATTCAAGGTCTCTAACCATCGATCATTATCATCTCGCGGACCCCAACCAGGTTGTCGACAATTTCCGACATGGCTAAGTCCACTCGTCAATGCTTTCATGGATTTTTGCTATGTTTTGATTTGGCTGCCCTAAATAGAGTTCGTTGTGGAGAGAAGAGAGGTGTGTGTGGGTGTAGGAAGGATTTGATTTCGACCGATTTGGTCTCTCGTGCTGTTACGGGTATGACGGCGGTTGTCACTTCCCGGCTGCCCACACCGTGGAAGGTGGTTTCCAGAGGAACCTGAAAAGGAAGGTAAATTAGCATTGGTCTTAGAGACCTGGGAGCGTGACCGCAGAGTCCAAGGGACAAATGCTTGATGCCGGTCATGCACGGCCTTTTCATGAAAGGTTTTTTGAGTATTACCCCCGCTCTTAAAAGCCCTTACTGGGCACCCTTATCGACGGAGACGGAAATCCGTGAGGTAGGGTGAGGTGTGACATTTTCAGGGTCGACCTTTTCTAAGCCTTCCTTCCTTGTGAGAAGGCAGCATTGCTGCAGATGCTTGTTGTCTGAGGGAAACACCCTTCTGCTGTCACACCTCTCTGCAGTCAGCAGTACGACTTCGCCCTCAGACCTTGAGTAGCAGCTGTTTTTAGTCTGATCGTTCTCCAATCGACCTGCCTGGCATGGTAGGACCTGCTGGAACATAAGTTCTAGCCAGTGTAGCTCGGTTGGGTCATCACGATAGTCAAGCTCGACCACCACGTCAAGGTATCAGCTACGGTATCAGCTTAGTTATTGATTTCCAGATAAACAACTGACTTTTTTTGCTATGTTGTAGTGAACCTATCCATTAATGTTTAAAACTGAAATTGATCGTTTGGCTTGTGATGATTTAGTCATCAAGTCAAAAGTAATACAAGCGTAGTTGGATGCTGGATAGCAGTGGAATTCTGATCGGGCGTTTCGTCCTATCTGGGACTCATCATTAGTTATGTCTACTTGCATCCGAGAACTGATACACAAGCCATTGACTGTCTTAACTCAGCAGCTAAGCGAATAGTGCGATGGTATTTGAAATTGATGGCAAGGGTACTGATTCGATTATCGGTATGGCCATCAACTCTAGGATATAGTTAGATCTGGCTGACGAATCCAAAATAAGACTAGACGTGCATCCTGAATTCCACTACTAGTCACCATCTATCTCTTCTTATAAACATTTGAAATGTTATACTATCAAGTTTGCTGGAATGGTATATAGTTGTGGTGGTGTTTCGTCCTCTGAGCTGGTTGTTTTGGTTGTGGAGCTTTCATTGTTCTTCTGAACAACATCATCAGAACAATTTATCAACCAATCAGAAAAATCATAGGTGACACAGGATCAAGAAACAGATCAAAAGGGGGGTGCAATCAAAACAAAGTTGCAAACAACGACAGGTCAAAAGTCAACAGCAACCAATCAAGATCGAGGTTAGCAGAACAAGCTACAGGTCAAACATGGAGAAATTCGAATGCTTCACTTCTATCTGAAGTTTGTGCTTATGATGTTGTAGTTCAGAAGAACAATGAAAGCTCCACAACCAAAACAACCAGCTCAGAGAACGAAACACCACCACAATCATCCACCTGAGCTACAAGTTTTCTCCACCATCTCAAATGGTATATAGTTTTCAGCCATTTTAATAACTTCAAAATCGATTTTATTATTCGCATTTACAAGGCAAGCGACAACTTCTATGGTGCACTAACTGTTTCAAATAGAAACGCTATTTTATATGAATGCTCGCAGTGATGGACTTAGAAGTCCAAAAGAACAAAAAACAATTACTTAAAGCCTTTTTCATAGAGTTATGGAGATCATGGATTTTCGTTGAAATTATGAATCGATCATTATTAGACCGCCATTAGAAATCTGGAAGCACTGAATGACCGTTTTGTCCTAGTCAGTTAGTCAGTTGCAACGTAGAACTTCGTACGTATGTACATAAGTTCAGGTTGCCATACCACATCAGCACAGAGACGCAAATGTCAAATCAAATCCCATAGTGATAAAGATAGTAGAGGTATTAATGGTAATGAAGAAGACTAGAGTTTGAAGATATGATTATTCAAGAAGTATAATTCAGTGAGATAAGGTTAGAAAGACAAAGGTAGAGGTGCTGACGAATCCAGAAGATTAGGATTTGAGAGAGCACAATGAATGGATGCACTTGCGCCATTGGAAACCATTTTGAGCTATGTCGTTCAAGGTCTCCTCTAACCATTGGTGACTTTCGTCTCGCGGACCCCAACCAGGTAGTCTAAATCTACCAACATGACGTAGTCCACTAGTCAGTGACTTCATGGATTTGTACCATGTTTTGGTTTGGCCGCCCCTAACTTTCTTCCAACCTATTCCTACACTACAAAACATAGCTCGTTGAGGCATTCGGTGGTTAGGCATTCGTAACACATTTCCCAACCACCTCAACTGATGAAGTTTCACCACTTCATCTATTGACTTGCCATCCTTACCTAGGCTGTGACTCGTAAGCAGTGCGCGCCCATGACCCTCACTCTCGGAAATCGAACTCCGCGCTTTCGGTTGTGCTCAACATCTAGACGACTGAACCGGCATCTAACTATTTTATTGTCTAACTTTAATCAATCACTGATATCGTGCAACCTCACCCATACTAGGATGAAACGACCGTCCATTGAGTGCTTCCAGGTTTCTAACGGTGGTCTAATAATGATCAATTCATAACCTGGTTTTGACTTGAAGCATATGTCAAGTAATATTCGGAAAGCAGTTTTTTCTCACTACTTAACACGAAATACTACTTTAAGACTGGTTTGTGTTAATGATCAGTAGTGAAGTAATTGAGTGCATTGTTCACTTCACTTAGAATCCCATTGAATGTAAGCGCTATTTTGTGTCACCTAAAAAGATATCCCTTCTGTTGTAGAAATATATTTCAAGTAAATTATAGGTGGTCATACCTGAAAACACGCCATCCATTTGTGACATATAAGTAGGTACGAGACTACTTAGTTAGTTTCTGTGAGATATTCATAATTACCGGTTGACTATGGTGAGGAATAAAGAAACTGTCTTATACAATAAACGTCAAGAATTCTTTCCTATTTCTCAAATCATATTATCTTGACTAGTCCGATGATTTTGACATTTGTTCTGCTAATATCACTTCGTTGATGTTGATATAGTATGCAATCTGTTAATGCACAGTTGTACTGTGCGAAAAATTGTTTTAGTTTATTATTAAAGTTTACTGTTACCACTTATTAACCACTCACTAATGTCATGCAATAAAATGACCAATCGTAGTACTTATTTTTTATGACCTTTCTCTCGAGCTAACCAATGACAAGCCAACCAGCAAAACTAACCTTGAATCACTGCTTACTTCTTATTGGTCCATTATTTGGAAGCTTATTTCCATGCTCTCTACCCATTGAATCCAGAACACAGAGATCAACGTCCGATATACAACTATTATATTTCCTGCAGGTGTAGTTTATAAGCAAACATACTCAACCGTATCACACTATCAAATGCAAAATAACAATTATACATTATCCTTTCAAATTAAAGTTATGTAGATCAGGGATTTTACTCGTTGAAATCACCAATCAATCATTGTTAGACTACCATTAGACACCTGGAAGCCCTAGATGGTCGTTTCCTCCTGGTACTCCTGCTACTCGCTGGATTCGAACCCAGGATCTACAGTCTTGTATGCGAATACTGAACCTTTGGACCACTGGGCCGGCATCCAACGGTGTTAATGTCTAACTCTGATCAATCTAAGGATTTTGCGTGACCTCAACCAACTTTTTGTCTTCTACAGTTACTACCTACACCCGACAGGGTTAACTCCACTGGTCATGTCTTCTTACTAGAACTCCAAGAATTCACTCACGAAGCTAGTCACGCATCGAACAATGTGCTCACTACTGACTAGCTTCGTGAGGAGATTCTCGTAGTTCTAGTAAGAAGCCGTGGCAAGTGGAGTTCGATCCTGTCTAGTTTCAAGCAATCTCCACCGAAGACAATGGATGAGGTCACGCAAGACCATGGATTGTGTGAAATTAACCAGCAGTAGGATGTCGGCTTAGTTGTCTAGAGGTTGAACGTTCACATGCGAGACCCAGCTTAAAAATACATCTATTTATTGATATAAAACGTGTTTTATAGTCAATTATTCTTTAATTATCTTTTGTTTGTTCATTGTTCAAATTTTTAGTCGTCCTGATACTGTATTTCAAAATTTTTGGATACGTATTGCTATTTATGAAAAAGTATTAGATAAAATTGTTAAATTTTTAGCTGATAATACATTGTAAGTTGATATTTATTGGTATTGTTATTATTATTATGATTATTGATCATTGAATTTTGTTTAAATTGAATTCGACTGTTTTTTCTCTCTGAAATATAGTTTTTTTTATGATACCATTTCATTCCTTGCGCTGGGACGAGTGTATTATAAACAGATGTTATGACATGTGCAGCATTTGAGAGATTTGAACGCTATACAAACTACTTACTTACTTACTTACTCACTTACTTACTTATGCCTGTTACCCCCAATGGAGCATAGGCCGCCCACCAGTTTTCTGCAACCAACTCTGTCTGTCCTGGGCTTCCCTTTCCAGTTCTGTCCAATGTTTGTTCATTCCTCTCATATCTTTCTCTATTTCTTGGCGTAATGTATTCTTTGGCCTTCCTCTTTTCCTTTTGCTTTGAGGGTTCCATGTAAGGGCTTATCTTGTGACACATTTGGGTGCTTTTCGTAATGTGTCTCCTATCCACTTCCACCGCTTCTTCCTGATTTCCTCCTCCACTGGAATCTGACTTGTTCTCTCCCACAGTTCGTTGTTGCTGATGGTGTTCTGGCCAGCGAATACGAAGTATTTTGTGTAGACAACTGTTAATAAACACTTGTATCTTGTGGATGATGGCTTTGGCAGTTATCCAAGTTTCCGCTCCATACGGTAGAACTGTCTTGACATTTGTATTGAAAATCCTGATTTTGGTTTTAGTTGAAAGTTGTTTGGAGTTCCAGATATTTTTCAACTGTAGAAATGCAGCCCTTGCTTTGTCAATCCGCACCCTCACATCTGCATCGGATCCACCTTGTTTGTCGATGATGCTGCCCAGATATGTACAGGTGTTAACATCTTCTAAGGCATCACTATCAAGAAAGATTTGGTGTTTCTTCCAGCCTACTACTACTCCCTGTTGAAGACTTTGCCTGGTATTGATATACAAGCTAACCCTTTAAAAATTTTCTCATTGGGCTAGAAATGGAGATAGACAGACATACAGATACAAACTGACAGTAAAAGAATCTGAATTGAAACCTACTGCCTTAAAAAAAGACAGAGTAGTAGAGTTCATCAATCTATCTATCAGGTATCATGGACTCACTAGTGACACCAGCTCAATGAGGAAGTTTCTCTGAGTTCTCGTAAGAAGTCGTAAGAAGTTCAACCCTGTTCTGGTACGAATTAGTACTCACTGAAGACAGTAGATATGGTTGCGCAAGACCGTCGTGGATTGATTGAAGTTAGTAGCTACGGTCGGGAGATCTTCCAATACGAGAAAAGTAATGCTACACCACTGTTCAATCACCGTATGCTACATTAACAATCGTGAAATTCTATCGAGCTGTCATTGGATGGAAATCTTTTCGTCTTCTGGGAAACCTTTGGGAGCCAGTCTGTCTTCAATCGCTCTTATTCTTGTTACCAAGTTTCTTGAATACGCCATGCTCTTGAACTTCTGAAACTTGGACTGCCAATTTCGGGAATTCCGCTGTAATACTACTTTTGATCATTCCTGTCAGTCAGTCAGTCAGTTACAACGTAGAACTTTGTAGTAGAAGCTTGACCATAACAGATACTTTGTCGTGATGGTCGGGCCTGCCTATCGTGATGACCCAGTCGAGCTATATTGGCTGGAACTTATGTTCCTGAAGGTTCTAATATGCCAAGCAGGTCGACTGAAGAACGATGAGACTAAAAGCAGCTACTCAAGGTCAGAGAGCCAAGTCGTACTGCTGACTGTAGAGGGGTGTAACAGTAGTAGGGTGTTCCCCTCAGACAACTAGCATCTGTATCGATGATGCCTTCTCACAAAGAAGGAAGCAGTTAAAAAAGCTCGACCCTAAAAATGTCACACCACACCCTACCTCATGGATTTCCGTCTCCGTCGGTAAGGGTGCCCACTAAGGGCTTTCAAGAGCCGAGCTAATACCCTAAATACGTCTCATAAAAAGGCCGTGCATGACCGGCCACAAGCAGTTATCCCTTGGGCTCTGGGGTCACGCTCCCACGTAGTTAAGACCGACACTAATCTATCTTCCTTTTCAGGTTCCTCAAGAAACACCCTTCCACATTGTGGACAGCCGGGAAGTGACAACCGCCCTCCTACCCGTACCAACACACGAGACCAAACTGGTCAAAATCAGATCCTTCTTACACCTGCTAATATCTCTCTTATCTGAATCGGACGATAATAATGACGCTTTCAGTTTATACCAAAAACTACATAGTTTCACACGGTTTTCTTGTACATTTTGACACTTACTGAACTGAATATTTCTCCTGTTTCCGCTTAGTTTTTGCTTCGCGACTTGTTCTACTGTCAAACATCGTATTCCATATCAACTGTATCAAATAGTAACCGTAACAACTATCACAACATAACTCATAGGATTAAATCGGTTAGTTGACTGATGATGTATTCCCTATCAAGTATTTATACAAACATATCGCGTTCAAAGGGCTTGTCCCACAGCCTTTCGACAAACTATTGAATCCATTCTTCTGGATTTATGATTCACATGTCTCTCAACCTTGTCCATACTTCTCTCATATCATTGGTTGTCTCAGTCATCTTCTCCAATTCGCTTCTGTTATACACCTTTCATGCTCATGTCTTTTCATCCACGAATCAGTGTTCGGCTTCTTATTACCACTGTCACATAAACAGATCGTAAACTCGATCCTTCATTCAAATTGTAATGAGATCACGTACCGTTACGAAATTCTTCCGACACATTTTGTCTATTGTCGCTGGTCTTATTGAAGCCACTTACTCTCATCTGTAATCAAAGTATTTTTAGATTATATAAACCCTCCACTCCACTCCACTTGTAGTGAAGGAGACGAATACATCTGAGGGCAACCAAATTGTATTTAACGGAAAATCACAGAGTTACTCAGTAAATTAGGAAAACCATATCGTAAACCGTTGTTAATTTGCAAATCTTCAATCCATCGTCAATCCATTGTCTGACATTTCACTTATTCATGCGTTTCATACAAATTCCATTGTGTTTCCACTCTTCTTCCATTCTTGATCTTCCCCCATCTTCTGCTGCCAGACATTACGTTTACACACTCGCGTCATATACTACTTATAAGTAGCGCGCACCACACACTTACCACACACTCTCTCTCTCACTGTCTTCATTTTCCAATGGTCACGTGACAAATCAAACATGCTCTTTTATATTCAAAGCAAAAAAATTATAACGGGGCGGTCGATAATTCACAGATATTTTTCTATTCCGTCTTTTTCTGTTAGTAAACGTGTAAACAGTTCACACACGCACACATACACACACACGAACACGTACACATGAATAAACTACTGTAAATGTAATCTACTTCATGCTAAATAGTCATTTTTATTGGTTTTGCGTGTTATGAAATATATACATATAGTTTTATTAATTATAGGATTGTGGAGACTATTGAACTCAAGGATCGATCTATATATATTAGGCCGACGATGAAAGAAATATGAAAGCACTGTGTATGGTTGTTTTCATTCAACTATAGGACTTATCAATGGCAGTGGGCATCGACAATCCCTGGTGGCGGGAATCGAACCCAGGAGCTTTAGTAGTTTAGATAGGATTTTGGCTTGCTAATCACTGATGACCACCAGCCTTTATGTATAAGAGTATTTGGCGGGATAAATAGACGCTCTAAACATGAATTGAACGTGAGAAATTCGAACCTTTGTGATAAAAAACTCGTTAGCTTTAAATCGTTGAGTTGGTATCTAAAGAGTAACTTTGAATAAAAATTATTAGATTTAGTTAGCTCCTTTGAACCAATGCCTGTCTAGGACAATAGTTGTTTTCCTGAAACTTAAGGCGGCATTTGACTCAGTGGATCGTGAGGTTCTGTGGCAGTGTCTGTCATTGAAAGGTGTATCAAAGAAGTACATTGACCTTATACAAGCCCTCTACTCGAACACCACTGGTAGAGTGAGAGCTTATGGCGAACTGTCACCGGAATTCTTTACTTCAAGTGGTGTCCGTCAGGGACGTCCACTGTCTCCATTCTTGTTTAATTTTTTCATAGACATGCTCTTAGAAATAACCTTATCCTCGTGTGAATTTTCAGGAGTAGACCTATTACCAGTAGGCTCGCTCATCGACTTAGAATATGCCGATGACATAGTCCTACTTGGTGAAGACGCTGACAAAATGCAGAGTCTTCTGACTACCCTAAGCAACAATGCATGTTTGGGATGCGGTTCTCCACATCGAAATGCAAAATGTTGCTTCAAGATTGATATTCATCGGCACCTGAACTTGTGATAGGAAGTGAGGTAGTCGACCACTTCACTTATCTGGTGAGTCCCATCAGTGCCGATGGCCTGATGACTGACGAAATCTCAGCTCGGATACAGAAGGCTCGATTGGCTTTTGCCAAACTGCGTCACTTATGGCGTAGGCGAGATATCCGTTTGCTGACTAAAGGACGAGTGTACTGTGCAGTGGTTCGCTCCGTCTTACTTTATGGATGTGAAACACGGCCAGTGAGAGTAGAAGATATTCGTAGGTTACTTGTTTTCGATCATCGATGTCTCCGAAGCATTGCTCGTATATCGTGGGACACCCAAGTGAGCAACGCTGTTATTAGGAATCGGGTGCTACGTAAGAATGGCAGATCAATAGATGAAGAAATGAAACTTCATCAGTTGAGGTGGTTGGGACATGTGATGCGTATGCCTAACCACCGACTGCTTCGACGAGCGATGTTTTGTAGTGTAGGAATAGGTTGGAAGTAAGTTAGGGGCGGCCAGACCAAAACATGGCAGAAATCAATGATGTCACTGACAAGTGGACTGAGTGATGTCGGTAATCGTTGACTACCTGGTTGGTGTCCGCGAGATGATAATAATCGATGGTTAGAGATCCTAAAGTACATGACTCAAAACCGTTTGCAGTGTCGCCGGTGCATTTATTCTTTGTGTTCTCTCAAATCCTAATCTTCTGGATTCTTCAACCCCTCTACTTTTGACTTTCTAAACTTATCTCACTGAGTCATACTTATTGAATAATATCTTCTGATCCTAATCTCTCCGATTACTTCTACTACTTTTACTACCTCTTCTACAATTGGATTTGAATTGACAATTATATCTCTGTGCTGATGTGGTATGGCGACATGAACTGATGTACTTACGTACGAAGTTCTACGTTGCAACTGACTGACTGACTGACTTGGACACCAAGAGCATATTCGTAGGGTTTATAACTACAAAGTCGTCTGAATTCCTGATGACCTTTATCTTTCTCTGTTTGAATTTACGTTACTAGATCATATTTTTTGAATAAATAAGATCTTCGAACCCTAATCTTCTCCGTTACCCCTAATACTTCTACTACTACATCTAGCACTATGGGATTTGAACTGATAATTGAGTCGCTGTGCTAGTGTACTATGTCAACTTGAAATGATGTACGTACGTACGTATGAAGTTCTACTTTGTAACTGAATGACTGACTGACTTACTGACAAACTAGAAGTGATTTCTCTACAAATCGTTTAATTAATAGTCTTTATTGCCAACAAACACTTTCAGTCTAAACGTCTACTCGATACTCTCTAGTTTTCCAATACCTGCTTAGATGAACTTAGATAGTTTATTTCAAACCAAGAAGTGTACATCATCCAATACAGTTGAGATCATCTGTAATAAACAGTTCATGATTTCAATAAAACTTAACAAACTCCACAACCCTTCAATAAAAATTATCTTATGTTCATTAATGACTAGCTTCCTGAAGAGATATTCTCAAAGTTCTAGTGAATAAGCCATAATCAAAGAAGTTCAACCGTGTCGAATGTAAGGCAGCTAATCACAGAGGACAATGAATGAGGTCATTGAAATGCATCTAACTAATGTCGGCTCATTGGTCCAAAATTTGAGCGTTAGCACGAGATACCAAAGGTTCTGAATTCCATACCAGTAGGAAACAGCCCACCACTGCTTCCAGGTTTCTAATAATGATCTAACAACGATCAATTTTGATAATTCCAACGCAACCCAACAATCTTTACAACTAACTGTATGATTAAAAAAATCATACCATTCATAGCACATACCTTGATATTTGATTGATTTTTTTCTTCTAGACAATATTACGAATCTGGTTCGATTATCGCTGATCCATGTGATGGTCAGCTACTGAGTGATTTACTGCGTAAGTTAAATTTTATACACCTACCTGTTCGACTGTTTTCAAAAACAACTATAATTTCAATTAAAATCACTGGTGTGTATTATTCATGACAGATATATATATATATATATATATATATATATATATATATATATATATTTATTTATTTATTTATAATTACTGTATACTTCCTAATTACATTGTTAGTCACCTGAGATTAGTAGAATTTATAACACTGGCATGAATTATCGATTTTATAGGTTTCATTGAAGAAAATGGTTGTCAGTGAAATAAATCTTGAATGGATTTAAGTTAATCTGGTATTGAAAACGTTTGAAGTATTAGACTGTAGTGAACGAGAACTCAGGTAAGGGCAACCGGATTGTATTTAGCGAAAATTACAGTGTTACTCAGTAAAATCGGAACACCATATCGTAAATCGTTCATTTGCAAAATATCAGTTCATCATATCAAACTGGACTGTTCCTGTTGCAAAACATCAATCCATTGTCACTCACTATTCATGCGTTTCATACAAATTCCATTGTGTTCTAACTCTTCCTTTCTTGATCTCTCCCCATCCTCCGCTGCCAGACATTACGTTGACACTCACGTCATATACTACTTATAAGTAGCTCACACCACAAAACTATCGGTTTGTTCTTGTTTGGAAATGATCAGTCAGTCAGTCAGCTACAACGTAGAACGTTGTATGTAGGTACATCACTTCAAATTACCGTAATACTTTAGTGCAGAGAGATGAAATTGTCAATTCAAATCCCATAGTTGGTAGAGGTAGTAGAAGTATTAGTGGTAATTAAAAAGATTAGGGTTTGAAGATGTTATTCAAGAAGTATAATTCAATGAAATAAACTTAAAAAGAAAAAGATGAAGGTGATGAGGAATTCAGAAGATTAGGATTTGTGAGGACACAAACAGTGGATGCACTTGTGCCATCGCAAACGATTTTGAGGTATGTCATTGATCAAAGTCTCTAACTATCGATTAGTATTTCCTTGTGGACCTCAACCTGGTGGTCTTAATTCAGTGACATCGGGGATTTATGCTTTGTGTGTTGGATTCAACTGCAAAATCGTACACGCAGGTCAGCTAACAGACTCTTTCGAGATGAAGACAGGCGTCAGGCAAGATTGCTTACTCTCACCCTTTCTCTTTCTCCTGGTAATCGACTGGATTATGAAGACGTCAGCATCTAGAGGGAAGCACGGTATTCAGTTGACTGCTAGGACGCACCTGGCCAATCTGGACTTCACAGATGATCTTGCTATTTTATCGCACACGCAACAACAAATGCAAGAAAAGAAAACGAGTGTAGCAGCAGCCTCAGCAGCAGCACCTCTCAACATACATAAAGGAAAAAGCAAAATTCTCCGATGCAACACAACATGCACCAACCAAATCACTTTTGATGGAGATGTCTTGGAGGACGTAAACACCTTTACATATCTTGGCAGCATCATCGACGAGAAAGGTGGATCCGATGCAGATGTGAGAGCGCGGATCGGCAAAGCAAAGGGCTGCATTTCTACAATTGAAAAATATCTGGAACTCCAAACAACTTTCAACCAAAACCAAAATCAGGATTTTCAATACAAATTTCAAGACAGTTCTACTGTATGGAGCGGATCCTAGGAGAACTACCAAAGCCATCATCCAGAAGATACAAGTGTTTATGAACACTTGTTTACGCAAAATACTTCGGATTCGATGGCCAGACATGATCAGCAACAACGAACTGTGGGATAGAACATACCCGATTCCAGTGGATGAGAAAATGAGGAAGAAGCGGTGGAAGTGGAAAGGACACACATTGCGAAAAGCATCGATTCGCGTCACAAGACAAGCCCTCACATGGAACCCTCAAGGTCAAAGGAAAAGAGGATGACCAAAGAATACATTACTCCGAGAAATAGAGAATGATATGAGAAGAATGAACAAAAACAGGAAAGAACTACAAAGAGAAGTTCAGGACAGAGTTGGTTGGAGAAAACTGGTGGGTGGCCTATGCTCCATTGGGGCAAACAGGCGTAAGTAAATAAGTAAGTAAGTGTTGGAACTTATCAATACGTAGTAAGCATATTATCATTTCACTGTTATTGCAAAGGATTTATTCTCTCACTTGTTTTAAAATTTTTAATGTGTATCTTTTATGTAGTTTTAAGATTCTTGATGGCTAATAATCTGACTCCGATTTGGACGACTGATGGTATATGAACGAAATCTTTCCTTTGAGTTTTATATCATTCTTAGGGCGAACCTTGTTTGTACGATGGCGTCTGTTCACAAGTTCAGTTCGGTTTCATGCGGAAAGATTGATTTCATATATTCATTAGAGCAGTTAGATAATAAAATGCAAAGTGTGAATGTGTAGCTAAGCTAAGTGAAGAGGCGAAGCCGAGCGAGCTAACTCAATGACATAAGGAATGACTATGTACTTATCAGGGTGGATGAAAGCTAAGGTTGGCCAAACCAAAACATGGCACAAATCCATGAAGTCACTGACAAGTAGACTAAGTCATGTCGGTAGATGTCGACTACTGGGTTTGGGTCCGCGAGATGATAGTAATCGATGGTTAGAGGGCCTGAATGACAACATGGCTCAAAACTGTTTACAATGGCGCAGGTGCATTCATTGTTTGTGTTCTCTCAAATCATAACCTTCGGAGTTCCTCATCACCTCTATCTTTTGTCTTTTTAAGTTTATTTCACTAGATTCTACTTCTTGAATAACTGGAACTGATGTACGTACGTACGAAGTTCCACGTTGCTATTGATTGATTGATTGATTGGTTGAAGTATTTATATTGTTAGACAAAAATAAGTTAAAGGCATTTACTAAGTGAAGTAAGAGCAACGCACACACACACTTACACACACTCAATTGAAAACAACCCTAATTACCAGGGAATAATTGACAAACGTCAAAAGACCAGCGCATAATAACTTCAGAATGAGACAAGTGTTCAACATGTTAGTTCATTCTACAGGATAATTGTTGTTATTAGTAAGTGGGAATATTTATCTAGATAAGATTGACCTTGCTTACTTAATTACTTACGCCTGTTACCTAGCAATGAAACACAGGCAACTGACTAACATTCTCCAACCAACTCTGTCTTGGGTCTTTCTTTCTAGCTCTGTCCAACTTTTGTTCATTCTTCCAATGTCCGTCTCCATTTCTCGGAGTAATCTGTATTTCTTTTGTTGCCTTCCTCTTTCTCGTTAACTTTGAGGATTCCAAGTGACGGTCTTTGTATTGTGACGTAGTTGGCTAATTTCTTCAATGTATGTCCTATAAACTAACTCCAGCGCTTCCTGTTATCTTTGTCTGCTGGAATCTGACTGGTTTTCTCTCACTGTAAGTTCTCTCTCACTGTCGATGGTATTTGATCAACAGAACCCCAGTATCTTGCATAGAAAACTGATCATAAATACTGTTATATTCGCCACTAGGTACGCTTGAAGCTATTCTGAGTTCACCTTAGTCGATAAATGCGAACGAGACAATGAACCAGCGTCCAGATAGGCTACCTTGAATCCCAAACTGTAAAACAGAAGTCTTGATAAGCGTAGAAAAGTATATTCTATAAACACCCAGCAATCACAATACACAATCAAGCACACAACTCTCGTTTGTTTATACATCATAGAAACGCCGTCCTTCGGACAGTTACGAAAATAGCACACTAAAATAGACAGCAGTCAATCACAGCCATGGAATTTCCTGGTGACAAATGAAATCTCAAGGTCAACTGATCAGCCAATGCTCGCAAACGTGAAATCCAAAATAAGGCATTTATCAAGCGTGTTCTAGGGATCTAACATCTCCAACAAATACATGTCTTTTGTGAATGATGGCTTCCATGGTTCCCTAAGTTCACATTCCATACAATAGAATGATTTTGATATTTGTAATGAAAATTGTGACTTTGTTGTTGGTTGATAGTTTCGAGTTCCAGATATTGTTCAACTGTAGAAATGCTTCTGGTACTTTATCTTTAACATCGGAATCCATTCCACCTCGCTTATCAATGAGACTGTTCAGATATGTATAGGTTTTTACATTTTCCAAAGCTTCTCCATCAAGTGTGGTTTAGTTGGTGCATGTTGTGTTATCTCTAAGATTCTTGCTGTTTCCCTCGTGTATGCTGAGATTTACTGCTTTAGATGTAATCGTCTTCTCTTGCACTTGTTGCTTTGTGTAGCATAGAAGGGCTAGATTATCTGCGAAGTCCAAATCGGCCAGCTGCATTCGACCTCTCCCTTGCAACTCTTGCTACTCCACAGATGTTGAGGTCTCCATGAATGATAAAGAGTGAGAGTAAGCCATGTTGGCTGACACCGGTCTACACTTGAAATGAGTCTATGATCTATCCATCATGCCCAGTTTTATAGTGTAGTCCACCATTAGAATTCTCTATGATATTGACTATCTTCTCACGCACACTGTACAATCAATGAATTCTACACATAATATCAGAACTAATAATTCCATGACCTTAACCAAGAGATCAAACATTCTTACGTGACACCAAAGATCATATGTTTAATGGCCACTCACGGCCTCGTGAATGTACATTGCTGATGAGTCCCTTATACTATGACAAGACTATCATCCAATGCGTTCAGGTTCCCTATGATGGTCATTCAACACTCGACGATTAGGTTGCATCGGCATTTGAATTAATGTTAGAAAGTGAAGTAGTCGAAAGTGTAGACCGCCTCACTAATCTCGGGAGTCTCATCATTGCTGATTGCCACTCCTCAGATGTTGAGGAGTGTTGAGTGAGAGTAAGCCACCTTGACTGACACCAGTCTACACTTGAAATAAGTTTATGATCTGTCCACCATGCCCAGTTATGTAGTGTAGTCAACCATAAGAATTCTGTATGTCGTCAACTATCTTCTCACATACACTGTACAATCAATGAATTCTACACATAATATCAGAACTAACAATTCCAACCCAAAAAAAACAACAAAACGAAACCGGTAGCTAG